CACCCAGCCCCCTTCCAAGCACCGCACTGACTCCCAGTGCACCCTACCTTTGCTCCCTCTCCTGGCCCTCCTCACTGAAAGCTCCTGGGGCTTAGATATCCTTTTACTCACCTTTGGACCTTGACCCCACCTTTAGGGCATGGTGGAGTCCCAAAGCTTGTGCGGAAGTGACTAGACCTGGGGGCAGGGCTGGAGGGTCTAGGTGGGCAGGGCCTGGCTGTGTAGCCTCCAGGATCAGGCCCCTCCAGACTCAGCCTCTTGTTCCATCAAAATTGCCCAAAGACAGAGACCCCTGCAAAGAGTTGTGCAGGTTACAGCCTGCACACCTGTACATGGCCGCCCTGCCAAGGGCCCCTATGGCCCTCGAGATTACCAAATCCAGGAGGTTCCTGAGCTCCACTCTGAGGAGGGAGAAGGAACTTAGAGGCAGCCCCGGGACAAATGAGATGTGGTGCAGAAAGCAGATTGGGGGTGGCCAGGGGCTGAGGGAGGCAGAAAGGAGGAGTGACAACTTGAGGGGATGATGAAAATGTTCTGGAACTAGATTGTGGTGGATAGTTGCACAAACTTGTGAATGTACTAAAAACCACTGAATTGTACACTTAAAAATGGTTAGGATGGTAACTTTTATGTTATGTGTATTTACCACAATAAAAAAAAAAATGCCCCACCGTCTCCAGCTTCAGCATTGTCCTGGGGCCCTCATGTATTCCAGGGCCCAGATCAAGGGCCACTTGTGTCCCCACAAGGGTCTGGACCTTGGACCCTCTCACTCCCAATCCCCTTCTCACCCCACCTGTTCTTGGCGTCTTACTGAGCTATTCAACTGAGGACATTTCCCTCTAAGATGCATTCTGAGGACATCTGCAATTGAGCCCAGTGTTTTTTACTCAAATAAATGAATTACTAATGGTTGAATTTCCTGTGGCAGTGGCCTATCTGTGAGGGAGATATTCAGAGTTGTGAGGTGGTTTCTGACATCTTCAAAAATTACCTCACAAAAGGCAGCTTTGGTAGGAAGCAGCTGATAGAGGCTGAAGCTCCTGTCCCTGAGACAAACTTCTCAGAGATTCCATGGAATCAGTCCACCCTTCTGGTACCCCCTTAGTCCAGAGCCAGATGCCCGGATATCATTGCAATTCAGGCTGGAAAACCATATCTTCTGGGTAATTCAGCTATAGTCCCAGGCAGAAGAAGGCATGGGAGAACCAGAATCCTGGGTCTGAAGTCCTTAGTAGCTGTGTGACCTCAGGCAAGTTACTCAGTCTCTCTGTGCCAAAGTTTCCTTGTCTGTAAAAGGACGATTAAAATAGTTTTGATCTTAAAAGTTTTTTTTTTTAATTTTTAAATTAACGTTTATTTATCGGGGTGCCCAGGTAGCTCAGTCGGTTGAGCATCCGACTTCAGCTCAAGGCATGATCTCACAGTCTGAGTTCGAGCCCCACGTTGGGCTCTGTGCTGACAGCTCGGAGCCTGGAACCTGCTTCAGATTCTGTGTCTCCCTCTCTCTCTGCCCCTCCCCTGCTCATGCTCTGTGTCTCAAAACTAAATAAAAACATTAAAAAATATAAAATTTAAAAATTTAAAATAAAAAATAAATTTAAAAAAATTTAATGTTTATTTATCCCCAAGACAGAGAGTGAGTGTGGGAGGGGCAGAGAGTGAGAGGGAGACACAGAGTCTGAAGCAGGCTCCAGGCTGTGAGTTGTCAGCACAGGGCCTGATGTGGGGCTTGAACTCACAAACCTGAGTGGAAGTCTGACGCTCAACCGACTGAGCCACCCAGGTGCCCCTTAAAGGTTCTTTCAAAAAAAATTTAGGTGAGGTGGCTGGCTGGCTCAGAGCACGTGACTCTTGATCTTGTGGTCCTGAGTTCAAGCCCCGCCTTGGGTATAGAGAATACATTTATATTTATTACATAAATAAAACTTAAAAAAAAAAGATCAAAAAATTAGGTGATAGTCATATAACATAACCATTAACCATTTTAACTTAACATTAACCATTTTGATGTAAACAATTCAGTGGCATTTAGTGCAACCACCACCTCTATGGAGTTCCAAAGCATTTTCATCACTACAGAGGTTGTTTTTGAAGATCTAATGTTTATAAAGCCTTAGAACGGTGCCTGGAACAGCCCGTGCCAAGTGCGTGCTCGATAGATGGTAGGAATAATTAGAAAACAGTGCTCACAACAGGTAACACGTGCTGGGAGGTGCTATTATTAATTAATTCTCTTCCCTTGAGCTGGAGGAGGAGGGAGTTAGGTTCTCACTCCACTTTGGGCAGCATTTTCCACTTTGAGCTCTCCGTACCCAGCCGGCTGGGCTGTCGGTTGTCCCCCACCCCGGGCTCAAAGTCCCATGCTCGCTCACCGATTGGAGGTAGGGGAGGCGCTCATGGTAGCAAGGAAACCTGGGGTCTCCCCCGCAGTCTCAGGGCCTTCCCTCTGCTCCTGTGGCTCTTCCTGGCCCGCTCCCTGCATCTCCCACGCCCGCTCCTGCTCCCCCAAGCTGTCACCTTCTGTGGCAAAGGAGACACGTGTGTGGGTGGGTAGCCGGGAAGATTCTGCCAGAACCGAAGGGAGTGAATTGGAGTGGAAACACGCCCACGTCTGGGAGGAGCTCTGGCGAGCGGACCTCCCCCGCTTATGAGCGCACCACCTCCCCCTTAGGGTTGGCATTTTAGTCCGAGCACTCTGGTATACCTAAGCACTTGGAAGGACACCCCCCCGGCCCCCCCCCCCCCACTCCCAGGATTGGCAGGCCGGCACGGCAGGCCTGTCGACTTTGAACAATCGCTTGGGGGAACTTGTTAAGCAGGTACATTCCTAGACTCCTCTGAGCGATGCCCGGGAATCTGCCTTTTAACGTGCACTCTGCTGTAAGGAGTCTTAGGAGCTGGAAAGTTTGGGACAGACTGCTCGGCCCCATCCTTCCAGGTGCAAGCATCCCACTCTGTGAATACTTAATGCCAACTTAACGCTTTCCGTGCTGTAACAACTACGTGCTAAGGCTCACTACGCGCCCGGCACTGACGCCCAGGACAAGCATGCTGGTTTCCTTGCTGAGTGCGAGGTACAGCGAAATATTTCTGGACCCCATCTCCCCCCCAAATTCCCCTCGGTGTGCAGACCCTGGAGCCGTGGATTGTCGTTTGCTGCCACCTTGTGGCAGAGATAGCAACTTTGTGCTCCACGTCCATTCTTGTTAATCTTAATTGAGAAAATGCACTGCACACTAACTATTGTGTGCCCGGTACCTAGTAAGATCATGGGGACCGGGGGGCAGATGAATAAGACAGACACAGTCCCTGCGTCACGGAGCTCACAGCTCCCGGGATATTTAATAACGCACAAATAAATAAAATGAGTGAATAAATGATTACAGAGTGTGGCTAGAAAGGAAACAAACAAGGGCTGGTTATCATAGGATGCAAAGACCTATGTATTTGCTAAACAGAGCTCTGTCTGTCTCCCTGCACACCTTTTCCCTGCCCAGGACCGTGGGCCACGCGAGGGCAGGCGAATCTGTTGATTCCCCCTTGTGATGGGTGAAGTCACCCAGTGCTGACACATAGTAGGTGCTCAGTAAGTGTCCAGTGAATGAATACATGGGTGATAAGGCTGTCCAGAGCCAGCTTGTTGGCTCTTCCAGGCCGAACAGATGGGGAGCGGGAAGGGAGGGCTTTGGAAGGGGGGCTGGTTCTCTAGGGATCTTGGGAGGGCTAGACGGTTTGGGTGTGAGCCAAATGTCACCCTCCCTGGGAGGCGCCAATCCACCCTGTCTTAAATTGTACACTCACTCCGTTCACTTCTTGGACCCCTTCCCTGCTTTTTTTTTTTTTTTGTCCTTGGTGTTTTTCACCATCTCACATACTGTATATTTGCCTTATTTACCTCACGTCCGGCCCCCAGGAATGTAAACTCCGGGAGGGCAAGGATTTTTGTGTTTTGTTCACTTATGACTCTCCAGCACTTGTAAGAACCTGACACTTAGCAGGTGCTTTGTAAACGTACACAGAGTGAATGAAGGATGCATGGGCGGGGCTTGGGGCAGAACCAGAAGGTCTCTAGGTGTGGCCCATGGGAGGCGCGGGGCTCTGAGACTAGGCAACCAGGTCTGGATGGGGTTGGAGGTAAATCTTACGGAGAAGGGAGGGGCTGGGAGGAGCAAAGGTCCGCGAGAGGGCAGAGCAAGGCTCGGGGTGGGACCTTGGGGCGGGGTCTTTCCAGGGCTGGGCCGTTTCCAAGGAGGGGTGCCTTAGGGGCGGGACCAGTACAGGGGCTCGGCCTACCTGAAGCGTGGCCAATCTGGAGAAGGGCCGGGTAGGGGCGTAGTCAAACAGGGAATATATATATATATATATATATATATGAAGGGCGGGCTAATGCCGGGGCGTGGCTAGGGAGGGACCAATCAGGGGCAGAGTAAA